TAGGGTTCTCCGCCGGCCGCCATTGCCCCTTCTCTCTCTCTCTCTGTCTTCGACAGTCGTGCCCCCCGTCGTTGATCAGTCGACAATAGGCGAGGACCACCATTGCACCTCCTCTCTCTCTCTCTCTCTCTCCCCCCTTCCCTTCACGGAGAGAGGGTGATAGCTATGCTTGCAGGGGTCCGCTGTATTATAGCCTTCTTAGGAGTAGGGGTAGGTAGGTCGTGAAAGCTGAAAGAATTTGAGAGAAGAATATCGTGTAGTTAAAAAGTAAAAACTAAAATAAAATCATTTGGGATGCTGGACCCGTTTTCCAGCACGTGCTGCTCCCCACAAATAGATTGGAGCGTCTTTTGTCAAAAAAAAAAAAAAAACGAACAGGCCTGCGGCATGGTCCCACTAGCCAAGGGATATGACCACATTCTAAAGGGCCGAAACGGTCTGCTAGTGTGGCATGCCGTCACGCTCCGGGGGGGGGGGGGGGGGGGGGGGGGCAAGCGAAAAAAAAAACAAAAAAAAACAAAGACAGGAAATAAAAGAAAGAACAGAAGTGCCGAAACGCTCTGCTAATGTGGAATGCCGTCACGCTCGTGGGAGGTGATGACGACGTTTCAGCCCTTGCCACTCACCAAATGTGCAAAATTTTGAATGAATCTTACAGCCAAACATGGAAAGATACACGGCCAGAACCGAAGAAGCCACAGGCGGGGAAGACTAAGCAACGACTTCGGACTGATCGTCACTCCAAGGGTCACAGTAATTGGCCATTTTTTAGGGCATGAAAGTGTTTTAAAAGGCCAAGAAAAATAATTTAAAGAATGACAACAAAAGGCCTGCAAGGCCGTCCTGGGGGCAAGTCCCACTAGCAGCGTTGAGCTACCTCAACGCCTGAATCTGGATGTGCAGAAATGGTGTTGAGTTTGCTGAACTGCACGTCTCCACAAGCACGTCCAGATTCAGGCGTTGAGGTAGCTCAACGCTACTAGTGGGACTTGGCCCCTGTCCAGATTTGACAGCTAATTGAATTGGTTGCTAGGCTACCAGCCGGGCCGCCCGGGTCACCCTGTCTTCCAGGCTGCCCGGCCGTGCAAGGGCCAGGGAAGGTCACAGCTAAAAAAAAAAAAAAAGAAAAAAAACTGAAAAACAACTATGTTCAGCGAAAAAGAAACTGAACAACTTTTGCCTCAGGGTCATCGAAATTCTTTACCAAATTTAAAATAAATAATAAAAATAATAAAAATAATAAAAATAATAAAAATAATAAAAATAATAAAAATATAAACTAATTAAGATTTTTGAACATATTTCAGGTGTCGGGACTGACGGGGTCGAACCCGACAGGGCGGTGCTCTAACAAACCTCATTGAACCCCAATACCATTGTCATTGAAGAAAAGAAGTATTGATCTTTTCTTCTATAAGAATGAATGAAAAATAATTGAATTGAAAGTTGAAACTGATTTAAATCATTTAATGAATTTGATGATTTTGATCATTACATATAAAAATAAATACTTTCTGATTGGTTAGCATATTACTCATATGAATCTTACTTGATTGAATTGATTATATAGATCTAATTCAACTAATTGTAAATTTGATTTAAAAATGTAGTCAATATCAAATATCTAGTACAATGTTTATTTAGTACATACTACATACTAGATATTGAATCTATTTTTTAATAAGAAAATAGGCACAAATATCAATTATAAATTCATGAATAATTTGAATTAACGAGAAATTTCTAGTTAATTCAAATAATTATTTCGCTTGTTTTCACAGAATGCATTATAGATAATCCATATATATGTAGATAGTTGTCCTATTCTATCTAGTACAATGTTTATTTAGTACATACTACATACTAGATATTGAATCTATTTTTTGATAAGAAAATAGGCACAAATATCAATTATAAATTCATGAATAATTTGAATTAACGAGAAATTTCTAGTTAATTCAAATAATTATTTCGCTTGGTTTCACAGAATGCATTATAGATAATCCATATTATGTAGATAGTTGTCCTATTCTCCCTCTCTGCCTACGGTTTACGGGTCAGCTCTGTTTGACTATATATGTAGATATATCATATATATATTTTATTTTTTTTATTTTTTTTGACCCGGCCGGGCGAGAGACGGAGGCCTCAACTTTCAGACCACTTGTCAGGTCATTTATAACAAAACCCAAGGGCCATTTTAACCAAACTTCCCACCAATTCATAGAGTGGAGATCATACTAACTACTTACGAAAAAAAAAATTGAAAAAAAACTTTAAAAACCTATAAAACAGCAAGGCAAAAGTGTGTTTTCATGCAAAATTCACTCTTGTCAGTTTTCAGGATTTTCAGGATTTTTCAGGGCTAGCCAAAACAGTCAACTCCAAGACCCCAACAAACACCAAACTTGGCACACACAGACCTTGACCAAAAAAAAACAGGGGAAAAGGAAAAAAAAACAGGGGAAAAGGAAAAAAAACAGAAAAAACTAGGGCCACTCTGGTAGCTAAAGACCTTTTCCATCCTTTAGAATCCACGGGAAAAGAAGAAAAAAAAAAAATCCACGCCCCCTCATGAGTTGCCCACCCTTCTTTTCTTTCCCTGTCAGTGCGAGGAATGAGCCCTTTGCGGGGCCCTTATCAGACATACAAGTGTTCTGGGCTGCGGCCCCTAGCAAGCCCATGCCCGCCCTAAGTGAAGGTGGTCCTGAATATCCACATGAGGCCTGTTTTTGACATTTTTCCATATGTGGGTACTCAGTTGCAGCACGCCAGTTGGTTACAGAGAAAACGTGAGCCTTCTGGCTCTTTCCAGAAACAGGGGCTGCGCTATACAGTTGAGCCTAGGGCCTGGGTGGTAGAGCCTGGGCACACGCTGTGTGAGGCCGACACATCACGGACTGGTTGTGGGCCAATGAGGAAAGAGCATTGTCGTCACACATGTACAAGTGAGCTAATGAGAATGCTGCAAACACTTGGAGGCTGGGTGGCTGTCTGGACGTGCCTAACTGCAAGAACGAAGAAGAAGAAGAAGAAGAAGAAGAAGAAGAAGAAGAAGATGTACACCAGCGAAGACCAATGAGAATTCCCTTCTTCTTTGCCAACCACTCTCCTCCTCCTTATCTCCGCCCCTCTTATTCAAACAAGAAATAATAATAATAATGTTGAATGGCTGAACCAGAATCAATGTCCGAATCCCTCTTCTACTGCAGGCATCACATGAGGTCCACCATAGCCATGGCCACCCTTCTTCCTCCTCCTTCCACAGCCAAGGCTATGGCAGACTACCAGGGTACTGCCCTGCTGTGCAAAGGACAATGCAAAGCAGCTATGGCTGCTCTAGCTCAGGCCGCCATGCCTGACTCTGCCTCAAAGCTTCTTGGTGTAGCTCTATACCAACGGGGGGCTTCCAGATGCAGCGCCCACCAAGGTGATGAAGATGGCATCCACCATAGCCAGGTAAGTACCTCTGGCGCTCCTCCCTCCTAGTCCTGGCCTTCTTCCTCCTCCTGTCCTTGCTCCTCCCCAGCAGCACTGCTCTGATGCTAGTGCTGCTCCAGCCAGCGCTCCAACCAGTGTGTCGCCAAACTTGCACACCGACAATGAGGAGGAGCACCTCGCTCCTCCCGGAGATGTAGCGGCCTGCTTGTCTCTTGGCGAGTGACTTCCTAGGCTGCGCTGCCTCCAAGCAACCGGTACCTCCTCCCTTTCGGAGGGAAACATCATTGCAGACTGATATTGCCCGTACAGGCCCTAGACTCAGACTGGTTGGATTGGTACCCGCCTAGACCCAGCCTATGACTACTGGGCCTCTAAAAATGCCAACTTTGTCTTCTTTTGCTCGACCTCGAGTACCTGGTACATCTACCTCTATCTGGTGTGGTACCGGCCTACCTGCTACTTGAGTGTTTTTCCGCTGCTTCAAGTGTCGCGGGCCTCCTTCCCCGCCACTTGAGTGTTTTCCCCTGCTGCAACCCTCCATGCCATGGCCACAGGTAAGTACCGAACCTTTGGGCCTTCCACATGGACAAGTACCCTCGTGGGTCTCACACACACTCAAACCGACGAGCACTCAGTCAGGCACACAGACCAGCAAGCACGCACACACTCAGACTTAGAAAACTCAGCAATAAGCGGGGAACTCAGCAAGGCATGCGTTCCATTGGCAAAACTCAGAAATCAGCTGTGTGTCTCAGTCTGTGTTTGGCAGGTCCTAACAGTTCGAGTGAATTTTGCGAATTGTTTACTGTGGAATCGATCTCCTATTCGACAAGGCTGAAGTTTGAATCATTTAATGTCACTGCTGCAGTTTTATCTGGTATGTGGGACTGAAAAGTTTTGAATCGTGACTGTGACGGCGGCAGTTGACGGATGCCATCAAGACCTATGTGGAGGAGAAGGTTGGAAACGCTGTGCAGAATCATGGAAATCTTGTCAGAGAGGTAGATGTCAGAATGTCTGTCAGAGGTGGCGAGCGAGGTATAGGACAGAAGCTCCAGAGATGCGAGGTGAGAGTCACCTTCCGTTCCTTTCGATTTC